ATTGGATGATTTGTGTCACGTCCCCACCCACATGTAATGTTGGATTGGATGATTTGTGTCACGTCCCCACCCACATGTAATGTTGGATTGGATGATTTGTGTCATGTCCCCACCCACATGTAATATAGGGTTGGATGATTTGTGTCACATCCCCACCCACATGTAATATTGGGTTGGATGATTTGTGTCATGTCCCCACCCATATGTAATATCAGGATGGACCATTTGTGTCACAATAATAACTTAGACTTGATGTGTTACAGTAGTCAGAACTGTCAATAGATGTGTTGTTCAGTTGTAGTGTATAAATCAATGAGTACTTGTATATGTTATGGAGAATGGAGTCAGCGTAGATTAAAAATGTAATTCATTATCTTTGTAGAGGAGTTATAAAAACCTTAATTTCAGTTCATACAACTGCCTGTAATCTATTTTCATACAAATGACTCGGGAGAAAAGGATTTATTTTATGACTTTTTTTTCACTTAGGTCAGTCCAAGCCATGCGATAAAGACTCCAGTGATTACCTGAAAGTCTTGTTTGACCCTGAACTTGACTGTTACTATGACCCAAGAACTGGGAAATATTATGAGCTTTTGTAATACCTTAATAATTAAACATTTTCTAACTTTTTCACAGTTTTTCATTCTCATTTGTGTTGTGTTCAAAAATAAATAGAGGTAGTGTAACTTTTTTGATATATATCCTTGTTGAAGGTTCTTTAATATATACTTATATCTCTGTTAGTGAATAAATATATATTTTTGTTGAAGGTTCTTTAAAAATATTTATATCTCTGTTAGTGAATGAAAATCAAGCAGAAATGTTTGTTTCATCTACAAGCTAGTTTGTGTGAAGAATGTACAGTTACTAAGTTTGTATATGTAATAAATAAAATACATTTCTGGATGTGTTGTGTAAGATCTGACCTTTTCACCTATTTAACAGTCTCTAAATGAAAGGACATATTTTAATGCTATGATGCAGCCAGATTAGACTGGCTGCATCATGCTATTGTACTAAATGCTATGATACAGCCAGATTAGACTGGCTGCATTGTGCTATTGTACTAGAATCTTCACATTCTTGTCTTTTCACAACATTGTAGTATGACCAAGAATTTATTTAACAAATACAGGAATTATTTAATAAAAATCAGAAGTCATCAAGTAGATTCCGTTTCTTTTGTCTGTAGAACCCTGAGAATAAAAAGATAATCTATTTGTATGTGACAAGTTAAAAATGTGGAATACTGTACCAGTAAACTTGGGTTTCACAGTGTGTGGTGATCATATATCATTAATACTGTACCAGTAAACTTGGGTTTCACAGAAAATAAACCTAGTAGAGAAGTCAGCAAACTGATACCACACACAATAAACACAGACACAGTTCTGCTCTGAAGTTAGCTACAAATTAGGAGTTGAGAGACAGGGTAAAAGTTAGTTAATATCTAGGAATTTAAAATATATATATGTATGTATGTATTAGAATTACATGATATTGTATAGGCTAATTAACCATGACAACCAATGATATATGATCACCACACACTGTGAAACCCAAGTTTATCGGTACAGTATTAATGATATATGATCATCACAACCCAAGTACAAAAATAGCAAACTGATACCACAAACAATAAACCAAGTACAGAAGTCAGCAAACTGATACCACACCCAAGTAGAGAAGTCAGGTCTCTGATACAACACATAGTAACCCAAGTACAGAAGTCAGCCAATTGATACCACACACAATAAACCCAGTAGAGAAGACAGCAAACTGATACAACACTCAGTAAACCCAGAAAGAGAAGTCAGGTCTCTGATACAACACACAGTAAATTTACTCTGTGTGTTGTATCAGAGACCTGACTTCTCTACTTGATTTACTGTGTGTTGTATCAGAGACCTGACTTCTCTTTCTGGGTTTACTGAGTGTTGTATCAGTTTGCTGTCTTCTCTACTGGGTTTATTGTGTATTGTATCAGAGACCTGACTTCTCTACTTGATTTACTCTGTGTGTTGTATCAGAGACCTGACTTCTCTACTGGGTTTACTGTGTGTTGTATCAGAGACCTGACTTCTCTACTTGATTTACTCTGTGTGTTGTATCAGAGACCTGACTTCTCTACTTGATTTACTCTGTGTGTTGTATCAGAGACCTGACTTCTCTACTTGGTTTACTGTGTGTTGTATCAGAGACCTGACTTATCTACTGGGTTTATTGTGTGTGGTATCAGAGACCTGACTTATCTACTGGGTTTATTGTGTGTGGTATCAGAGACCTGACTTATCTACTGGGTTTATTGTGTGTGGTATCAGAGACCTGACTTATCTACTGGGTTTATTGT